CTGGAGGACCCCACCAGTGCACAGATCCGTGCACCAGGCCTCCAGTATGACTATAAGTTCCCTGGTTAATCTCTTCCCTCACCCCCGCCCCCACCCCCACCCTCTTCCCTCTGAAATATGTCAGTCTGTTGCATGCTTTTATGTCTCTGGATCTATTTTGTTTGCCAGTTTATTTTGTTCATTAGATTCCATATATGTGTGAGATCATGTGATATTTGTCTTTCTAACTGACTGATTTCATTTAGTATGATACTCTCCAGGTTCCTCCATGCTTTCTCAAAGGGTAGGAGAACCTTTTTGCAGCTGCATAGTATGTCATAGTGTAAGTGTTTTACAGTTTTTTTAATCCACTCATCTGCTGATGGGCACTTGGGCTGCTTCAATCACTTTGTGGGTTTTTTTATTTATTATTTTTTAAATATATATATATATATATATATATATATATATATATATATATATATAAATATTTTTAATTGATTTTTTTATAAAGAGAAGGGAGAGAGATAGAGAGCTAGAAACATCGATGAGAAGAAACAACCGACCAGCTGCCTCCTGCACACTGGGATGTGCCCACAACCAAGGTACATGACCTTGACCGGAATCGAACCTGGGACCTTTCAGTCCACAGACCGACGCTCTATCCACTGAGCCAAACCGGTTTCGGCTTAAGTATATTTTTATTATTGTGCCCTTTACAGAGGATATTACTTTTTGAAGAATAGCTTTCGGGATTGAGCTGAAACCAGCTTCTGCAAAGATTGTTCTGTGGTAGTCTTTTGATTTTAGAGAGGAAGGGAGAGGGAGAGAAAGAGAGAAACATCAATGATGAGAATCATTGACCAGCTTCCTCCTGCATACTCTCAGCTGGGGATTGAGCTTGGAACCTGAGCATGTGCCCTGACCGGGAATTGAACCTATGACCTCTTGGATCATAAGTCAGTGTTCAGCCACTGAGCCACACTTGCCGGGCCGATCACTTTTTTTTTTTTTTTATAGGAAGTATGTTATTTGTATGCTGTTGCCTGTGTATATAAAATAAGTATCCTTGTGAAATAGAAATTCATGAACATTCATAGAAGTAGATGCTAAGGACTGACAAAGGCAGAAGTTTTAACAGTATGGCACATGTTATAAGGATAAGATTTTTGTACAGGCTTCAGCTCTCTGAATATTCATTGGTTCGTGAGAAGTGGCTTAGAGCACCTTCAAAGATTCGTTTCACTACAAAAAGGAGCACACTTTCTGGGGTCTGAAGGGATCGGTACTTGAAGATGCTCCTGGCAGCAGGGGGTTACGCTGAGCATTCTGCAGACAAAGTTGTTTCAAATCGGCAGCTGCCTGGCAAACCTTCACAGGGCTGAGCGCTTCATGTAGGACCGCTTTCTTCACAGCTGGGAGCTGAGGACCTGACCTGCTGCACTGAGAGGGCTACAGACTTGTAGGTGGGGCTGGCTGTGTTCAGGGTGTGAAGGCAGGAGGATGTGTGTGTGTGTGTGTGTGTGTGTGTGTGTGTGTGTGTGTGTGGAGGTGGGGGGGGCAGTGAGGAGTTGGCATCAACAGTCCAGGCAGGAAGTGGTGGAAGTGGTGGTGGTGGGTCCCCAGTTAATTAGTCACTTTAGGGAGGAGGGGACTGAGCCACAGAGAGCGGAGCAGCTGCCTGAACCAAATGTAGGCTCCTTTCCCTTTCTCCTCCCACCCCCAAACCCAGCGTTTCCTCATATGCAGTCCACGTCATAGCAGAGGTGATTGCTGTGTTCCGGGAGAATGGCAAACATTGTACATTTATTAGGTTACCCTGTCCCCATGACAACCCTGGGAGGCAGGTCCTTTATCATCCCTATTTTACAGATGGGGGAAACCAAGGCACAGAGCAGTTAACAGTTCACCCCAGGTCAGACAACAACACATATCAACTGTAACTGTTACGGAGAACCCGCTGTATATCCAGCCGGTCCTGCAGAGCCTGTTGAATCCTGATAAACAGGTGGCAATGGGTGCTATTTCTTCACACAATGAAGAGGAGACTGCCGCTAGCTTGAGGTCACCCAGGCCTGGGAGCTTAATCTCCACTCCTTTCATGGAGCCTGGTCCCTGTGCCACTCAGTGTCCCAGGAGCTGAGGACATGTGGGAGGAGGGGAAGCAAGGCTGCTGCCTATGGGACGGAGCCATCTTGCAGGGGAGACGGACCGGAAGCAGAACAATAAATACACATTACACTGGAGGCCCGATGCATGAAATTCGTGCAAGAGGCTGTCTTTCCCCAGGCTGCCTCCACCTGGGACCCGGGCTTCCCTTGCAGCCCCAGCTTGGAACTCTTATCTAATTAGCATATTACACTTTCATTATTCTAGATGCCTAGGAGGGGGTCTGTGCTGCAAAGAATAATGAAGCTGATAGAGGGATGAGGGGCAGAGAAAACGTAAAGATCTGGTGGTCAGGGAAGGGGAAAGGATATAGAGTAGAGGGAACCCAAGTGCCCGGCCTGAGGGGATTGCAGGCATATTCAGGGGCCAGCAAAGAGGCCAGAGTGGCTGGTTGGATGGTGTGCCAAGAGGGGGAACAGAACATGGGAGCCTTGAGGGCAGTGATGAGGACCCTGGCGTTGAATTAAGCACCAGAAGGTTCTGCGTAGAGGAGAGATGCTATTTGACTCTGGTCCCTCTGGCTGTGTGTGAGGACAGGGATGGGGTGTGAAGGCGGAAGGGTGTGGTGTAGAGGGGAGCCAGTGAGGAGCTGAATTCAACAGTCCAGGCAGGAAGTGGTGGAAGTGATGGTGGCTGGACCAAGATCAGTTGTCAGTTGAGAGAATAAGAAGTGGTAGTCTTTGAATATATATGTATATACTAGTTCGTATATATAATTTTTTCTCAGCTTTTTTTTATTGATTTAATTTTTAAACATATTTTTATTGATTTCAGAGAGGAAGGCAGAGGGAGAAGAGATAGGAATATCAATGATGAGAATCATTGATCGGCTCGCTTCCTACTGGGGATTGAGCCCACACACCAGGTATGTGCCCTTGATCAGAATGGAACCTGGGACCTTTCAGTCTGCAGGCTGATGATGCTCTATCAACTGAGCCAAACTGGCTAGGGCTATTTATTGATTTTAGAGAGAGAAGCATTGATTGGTTATTCACTTATTTATGCATTTATTGGTTGCTTCTTGTATGTGCCCTAACCAGGGATTGAACCTGAAACCTTGGCATATCGGAACAACGCTCTAACCAACTGAGCTACCTGGCCAGAGCTTTCCCTCAGCTTTTTTTTTTTTTTTTTTTTAATATATTTTATTGATTTTCCACAGAGAGGAAGGAAGAGGGATAGAGAGCCAGAAACATCAACCAGCTGCCTCCTGCACACCCCCTACCGGGGATGTCCCCGCAACCAATGTACATGCCCTTGACCAGAATCGAACCTGGGACCCTTCAGTCCGCAGACCGACGCTCTGTCCACTGAGCCAAACTGGTTTCAGCTCAGCTTTTCTTTTATAATGATATTTTTGAAGAATCCAGGCTAATTTTTAATTTAATTTTTTTTTTTTTTTAAGAAAAAACTTTAACTGTGAAGTTGAATGGCAAGAGACAGGAGGCAGAGCTCAAATCTATCTCTCAGGCCCAGCCAATGTGGCTCAGTGGTTGAGTATTGACCTATGAACCAGGAGGTCATGGTTCAATTCCCAGTCAGGACACATCCCCTGGTTGCAGGCATGTCCATCCCCAGTAGGGGGTGTGCAGGAAGCAGCCGGTCATTGATTTTTCTCTCATTGATGTTTCTATCTCTTCCTCTCCCTTTCTCTCCTTAATCAATACAAAAATTTTTTTTGCACCCTAACCAGTTTGGCTCAGTGGATATAGCATCAGCCTGTGGACTGAAAGGTCCTGGGTTTGATTCTGGTCAAAGGCATATATAATACCTTGGTTGCAGGCACATCCCCGGTGGGAGGTGCGCAGGAGGCAGCTGATTGATGTTTCTCTCTCATCGATGTTTCTAACTTTCTATCCCTCTCCCTTCCTCTCTGTAAAAAAATCAATAAGATATATTTAACAAAAAAATTTTTGGGGGGTCTCAGGTTCGATTCCAGTCAAGAGCATGTGCGCAAAAAGAGAGAGAGAGAAATTTTTTAAATTAAAATTGTTTTTTAAAAATTCTATCTCCCAGACTAGTTTTCTGGTATAATGCTCTTCAGGTTGAGTAGATTGATCAGACACAATTGTCCCTCATGATTAGATTCAGATAATCCACACACCTGTGTCCTTAATATATCAATCACATCAGGAGGTCCATGGCGTCTGTCTGTCTCATTACTGCACCTATTGGCTTTGATGCCTAAGTGATGGTGTCCGCCAGGTTTCTCCACCAGAAAGTTACTCTTTACAGCGAATCTCCTGTGAGGAGGCTCCTTAAGACTATGAAGATAGCCTGGACCTCATCGATGTTCCTGGACAAGTTTTAGCCTCTATTGATTTTCGCTGCCGCTCTAAGATAAGAAGGAAGTTTTCTTCTCCTTTGTGCGCTTTTAGTTAGCATGGACTCATGGATTTCTGTTTTATTCAGTGGTTATAATGTGTAATTGTCATATTTAAATGTTTAACTCATTCCAGATTTGTCCAATGGGAGCCCTTCCAGGCTGGTGTCTGTGGGGCGGGATTTACTTGGCAGGTAGCATTTCCTGGTGGATCGGATGGGCCATGTGTGAGAGAGGAGAGGAGACGGGTCTTTCAGCACATGTTTGTGGCCAGGAACGGAGTCAAGCTGTGATAGCATCAGGCAGAAGTCCCCGCTCTGTGACCCTCAGGAATGGTGGTGGCAGCTCCTGGGAATACGGGACTGGTGGAGGGATGGTGCAGATTTTAGAAGGGGGATCAGGAGGTTGGTTTTGGACAGGTTGGGCTGAGATGTGGCAGAAAAGCCTCTGCTTCCAGTCCTCCCTCTTCCTGTCGCCCCACACCCCCTACGTAATGACTCCCTGCTCTTCTTTACCAACAGCCTGGACAATGCAGACTCCACTGAGCAGCCCTGTGCCTGTGCTCCGGCTTCCCCGCGGCCCCCAGGGCCTGAGCAGGGGCTTTGCGCCTGACGGGCGGAGGGCTCCCCTGAAGCCAGAGGTTCCTGAAGCCCCGGAGGCTCCTGCAGTTCACGAATGTCAGGAGTCCCAGGAGCAGCGGGCCAGAGCTGTCCTCCGGGAGCGCTACCTGCGCAGCCTGCTGGCCATGGTGGGCCGCCAGGTCAGCTTCACCTTGCACGAGGGTGTGCACGTGACCGCCCACTTCGGAGCCACTGACGTGGACGTGGCCAACTTCTACGTGTTGCAGCTGCAGACTCCGATAGGTGTGCAGGCGGAGGCGCTGCTCCGGTGCAGTGACATTATTGCTTACACCTTCAAGCTATGAAGACATTATTGTGGTCACCTCCTGCCTTAGGCCTCGCCACAAATTCCCAGGCTTCCAGCTGTTTCAGGTCTCTGGGCCTCACAGAGTTCGGAATTCCCTTGGAGTTTTGAGCCAAGCTCTCAGCAACTGACTTCTTCAGATCTCTGGTGTCTAGTCAGTAAAATTCTGCAACCCCACAAGTTCTAGGTCCCATTGAAGGGAATGCTCTACCTCACAGAACTTGAAACTCTACAGAAATGTGGGTCTTGGGACAGATCCTGAAGACTGGAGGTGGGTGGGGTTAGGGAGGGGGGCAGTGGGAATAAAGGAAGGCAAATTGCAGAGTGGGAAATTGTTTATTACAGAAGTTGCAAAGTTCAGTCACCCCGAAGAAATTTCCCCAATACTACTGTCCTGCCAAAGAACAATTATTATTACAGAAAAATCCGCCTCCTGTTTTTTTTCTTCTAGTATATTTTTATTGATTTCAGAAAGAAAGGTAGAGAAACATCAAAAGATGAGAGAATCATTGATCAGCTGCCTGCTGCACTCCCCCTACTGGGGATCCAGCCCACAACCGGGCATGTGCCCTTGACCAGAATGGAACCGGGACTCTCCAGTCCAAAGGCCCAAAGCTCTGCCCACTGAACCACACCAGCTAGGGCTATTTTTGTTTTTTGTTTTTTAATGTAAGTGTACCCAAACAGGGATGAAGCCAGATTTAGGGGGTAGGAGGACAGCTGTCCAAGGACTGAATCCCATGGACCTGGCCAAAAAGAAGGGCACATCAGAAGGCTGGGAGAAACTTGGATAAAGGTGTAGGGATTGGACTGCTCCTGGCTGCGGGGAACAGCTGGAGCGACCTGGATAACAGGCTTGGATGTTCTGGATTAAATTTATTGGGTGAGAGGAGATGTTCAGAGCAAGGGATGCGCTCCTGTGTGACCTGGGTGGTGAGAACACAGATTCGCTTCCCCCACCGCACGTGAGGAAAGGTCAGACTCTGCGGCGCCATTGAGAAAATGGCTGAGGATTAGGGATTAGGGTGAAGCTTCACCTCTTCCCCATTTTGCCCCAGCTCTATGGCATGGCCGTCCATATCACTTGCTTTACTTAGCCCCGTCACTAGTAGTCGTTTGGCAGATTCGTTTTTAAAAAGTAACTTCTGCCCCCTTTTAATCCCATTAACTTGAAAATGTAGGTGGAGATTCCATTACAGGTACATGAGGTTTGCTTCGTTCCACTTCCGTCACGAAAGTGCCGTGGCCAATAATGTCTAAGACGAGTGTAAAGCCTCAGCTTCCACATGTCCATTCACAACGCCACCTCTGGCGAGTCCCTGGCTTCGCTCTCGAGTTGCCTTGGCAACAACGTCGCTCGTTCCTCCCCGAGTCCCCTTTCTTGGGTTTTAGCTCCGCCTCTCGCCTCCCCCCCCCCCCCCCCCCGTTGTTGCAAGGGCTGGGGAAAGCACCGCGAAAGTGCGGAAGCGAATGTTAAGTGATTGAATGGACTCGGGGCGCGGGAGGGAAGGGGCGTGGAAAGGCGTGCGGGGGCGTGGCTTGAGCTCCTGCTGGTTTCCGCTCAGGGCTTAGTGATCTACCTGCTCCATCGCTTGGTATTTTGGTTGGCAGATTCCTCCTGCTTTTGGACTTCCTTCTTCGCCCACCCCATCCCCTTTTAAAATCAAGGCTATGCTCATACTTTATTTTAGTTCGTAAACTATAATTGTATCTTATACAACGCTATTCAGCTACAGAAAATTGTTGATGAAACTGCAGTCTGCAAGTGAAAGGCTACAGACCAGCAAGAGGGCAGAAACTCCGTCTCCAGGCAGAGGATCCCTCCGTCAGCATCCTTTACCAATACTCATATTCAACAACTATCACCTTCCAAGTTCTCCACTCCGTCACCTCTCTCCTTATGAGTTGGTCTAGCCCGGTGCAGCAGTTGTTCCTTTTTATCTTTAACTCCCAGCCCTTATGCGGGGTCTGAGCTAGTGACGAAAGTGAGCGAGCCTGAGCCTCAGCTATGTGGCCGGAGGCGGGAAGGCGGGGTGAGGGCGGCTCGGGTTCGCGCGTGCGCGCTGCTCCGGGAGACGGCGTCCGCCCCGCCCCGCCCGCCGCGCTCTGCAGTTCCGGCTCTGCGGATTCCGTGCTCACGTTTCTCTCTCCCGAGGCTCCGGCTGCCTTTTGTTCTCCCGCTTCAGCAGCCCGCGAGGCAACTCTGATCGCAGGCAGCTCCCATAGATTTTTCTGCTTTCCTTGGCACGCGGCGGGCTCACCGGCCTTTAACGAAAGTGCGGCTGCGGACAGGCAGGCGGGCGCGGAGCTCGGGGGAGGCGCGCTCGGGCTCCCGGTGGCGGCGACGACTACGACGACCAGGAAAGCGGACGGAGGCGGCGCCTGAAAGAGCGGCGGAGCCCATGCCCCGAGACGGCGGGCGGGCCCGGAGAGACAAGTCCGGGGCCCGGGGCATGTCCCCGGGGCCCCCGTGAGGAGGCGGCGGCGGCGATGGAGAATCCGCCGCAGGAGGCGCCGCCCGGGCCCGGCGCGGACGGCGACGCCGCCGAAGAGGCGCCCGCCGAGGCCCAGTCTCCCAGCCCCGCATCGTCCCCGACCGATGGGCGCCTCAAGGCTGCGGCCAAGCGCGTCACGTTCCCCTCCGACGAGGATATTGTGTCCGGAGCGGTGGAGCCCAAAGACCCTTGGAGACACGGTAACTACAGCCAAGGCGAGGGGGCGGCTCGTGGGGGTCTCGGGAGTCGGTGCAACGCCCTGCACGCAGGGGGTGCTCAGTAAATGGCTCCTGATGATGACTTAAGGTGACAGCCTTCAGGTAGAGATGGGATAGCTATTAGGCTGGGAAGGTGAGATGTAGCTCCTTTATACCCACCCCCACCTCCGCCTCGATCATTTCAGGAATCAAAACGACGAGCAATTAAAAGAAAGTTTGGGAAATTGGAAGGACGTTAGCCTCTGAGTTCATAGTTCCCCCCAGAGAAGGATGGAGAGAGCTATCGGGAGGAAGAAGGTCAGCATGGGTGCTGAAAGCGCAGGTGGAGAAGTCTGATGGGCCATGGGGATGAAAGCGGTTAGGTTTCCTGGTCTACAAGCCCCGGGGGGAAGAGGAAGGGAATACATCGGGACTGTGGCTGTGGAGGAGGCGGTAAATCCCAGGGTCGGGAAAAGGGAGTCAAGGTAAACTCCCAGAAAAGGAGCAGAGGTGGTGGCCCATTTTGGGGGGCGGGGGGAGATAGTCAGAGGTGTTAGATCTTGGCATGAAGAAGGAGAAAAGTCACTTCATGCTTGGAAACAATACATCGGTAGTCGTTCAGGCGCAGGGGCCTGGTTATAGAAGGCTCTTCTTTTTGCCCCAGCCGAGAAAGAATTGGGGAATCGGAGTTGCTGGTCAGTAGAAGGTGGGAACATTGGAGAAGGTGGGTGGCTTGAGGTGTTGGGAGAGGAAGCAAACCTTTGGATTGTAGGCCCCTGGAGAAGGTCGGGTCAGCGTTGGCACTGAAAGCAGCTCGCTGGAGGAGTGCTTTCCGCACAGGCTGGGAAGGTGGACGGCAGCGGTGAGGATGAGTCCGTGTCTGTGCCCGTGAAGTCTGCCTTGCTGGGGCGGAGAGCCCGCAGAGAGAGAGGGAGCGAGAGGGAGCAGGCTGGCCCCGGCTGTGCAGAAGTTGCTCTGTTGGCCCTGGGGACACAGGAGGGGCTGTTGCTAGTCTACGGCAAAGGGGGAATTGATGGCTTTGGTGTGAGTGAGGAACATGTGAAGCTGAACACACAGGGAGTCACCATCAATGCCAGTGTGACTCTACTGTTAAAGAGGCAGGGGTTAATTTAAGATTCTTTTTAAAATACATGTATTTTTTTTCTTGATTTCAGAGAGGGAGATGGAGAGAGAGATGGAAACATCAATGATGAGAGAGATTCATTGGTTGGCTTCCTCCTGCATGCCCCCTCCTGGGGATCAAGCCTGCAACCCGGGTTTGTGCCCTTGACCGGAATCGAAGCTGGGACCCTTCAGTCTGCAGGCCTACACTCTGTTATTCACTGAGCCATCTGGGTAGGGCGTAATTTAAGATTGTTGGCGTTGGAAGCCAGCCAAGTTCTTGGGCTCTAGGCCTCAGGGATAGGGGTCACTTTTGGGTTGGAGGACTGTGGGACTGGAGCAGAGGAAGGGAAGAGTGAGAATGGGCCCCGGCTGGAGCATGGGATTCAGTCCGGAGAGCTCAGAGCAGGCAGGGGAAGGCCTGGGGGGACAACAGGGTGGGGAAGAGCAGAGGCTCCAATTCAAGTCTTGACTCTCATTTACCCACTTCGTGACCTCAGGCGTGACCTCAGGCTGGTAACCGAATTCCTCTGAGCCCCAGTTTCCTCATCTGTAAAGTGGGTGATAATACCCATGCCTTCTGGCTGGGGTGGCTTTGACCTATGAACCAGGAGGTCATGGTTGGATTCCTGGTCAGGGAATGCCCTAGTTGCAGTCTTGATCCCCAGTTAGGGATGTGCTGGAGGCAGGCAATCAATTATTCCCTCTCATTGATGTTTCTATCTCTCTTTCCCTTTCCCTTTCTCTCAGAAGTCAATAAAAATATATTAAAACAACAACAACCTCTGTGCCACAGGGTTTAAGAGAGGAATAAATCAGATTGTGTGTGAAAAGTTATTGGCCAAGGTGAGCCTTCATGAAGCTGCAGTTGTTATTGGTCATTTCAGGGGCGAAGTTAGTTGATATTGGCCGTTTTAAGAGTCAGTCTAGAGGATTGGTTCACAGGGTGGGGGCCTGGATGTGTCTGCTTTGCAAGCGTCCAGGAGAGGGACAGAGATGGGACTCGCTGGGCCTGGGGGAAGATGTCCGTTTGTGGACCAGAGGGTTATAGTTCAAAGGGTCTTGGCTGGGGCTGCAGGGAGCAGTGGGTTGGTCTAGGAGGAGGGGGCAGAGATTTTTTTGGAGGTGATCTGTCAGTCGTGAGAAAGCACGGAGGACCCAGTGGGAAGGGTGATGGAGGAGCAATCCTGGGGCCTATTGTGCTGACGTGATGCCAGGGCCAAGCGTGAGGGAGGAGTTGCTGGGTCTGAACTGGGAGAGAGGTCATTCGGAGGCTGTTCCTCCATCCTAGATGGAGACGTTGCCTGGGCCCTGAGGTGCAGAGCACCCCTGGCTGGGAGAAAGCAGCCGAGAGGAATCGGGGCCCAACCCGGGTGCCGCTCAGCAGAGCCTCGCCCTGGCCCCCGGCAGCCTCGGGCTGGGGTAGAGGAGGGCTGGGACGGGGACTAGCGTGCTGGCCCCACTGGGTGGGAGTCCTGGAGGTGTCTGCCTGAGGGCGGGACCCATCAGGCTCTGCCACAGCCGGGGGCTTTCTGGAGGTGAGGTGCTGTGGAGGAGGGAGATGGTCAGGAAGGTCCCAGGCCTCCCAGAGCATAGAGTCCTTCCCTGGCTCCCATCTCACGTGGTGTCCCCACCACCCCCGTTGCGGGGCCTCCTTGTTTTCTCCCTCTACATGATACACCCCATGTTTTGTGTTAGTGGTCTCTCCCCCACCAGAATGGGAGAGCAGACCGTGTCTGTCCTCCGTCCCTCGAAGAACATGCAGCAGTTACGGTTGAAGGAGAGCTAGTGGGCATGAGTGCAGCCGTTCTGAAAGGATGAGGCCCGGCCAGGCCAGTGTGCTTCCAGGCCTCCAGCAAGGCACTGGCTCCGGCTCAGCTTGTCTGTTTCCTCATCTGGGAAACAGGATCTCTGCCCTGCTGACCGTCCAGGGAGCCTGAGCCCAGGGATGAACTCCCGTGCGTGTGGCGGGGGAGGAGGTGGGGTGGAAACTATGAGACCTGCCTCAGTGCTGCCAGGCTGGGCATGCGTACGCTCTGCTCTCCGCGGAGGGGGAGGGTGTGGAAGTGGGCACCAGCAGAGGAGGGGCTAGCTGGCTGCACCCCACCCCACCCTATGATTCCAGCTCTTCTGAGGGCCGAGGCCAGACTTGCACTGGGAACCCTTCTAGATCAAACTGCAAGAATGACCCAGGGCTCAGCTGTCCCAACTGCACGCTGCGCAGGGAGGCGTGGGGCTTGCAAGGCATGTGACACTGGCCACAGTCTGGGAGCTTGTCCTCTCTTCCCTCTCGTCCTACCAGTGACTCACGCACCATTCCCTGACCTCCAGCCCCGGAGAGTCAGTCCTGCCGTGTGGGAGGGGGTACTGCCACCGGGAAACTCCTGGTGTGGAGAGGAGGTGTCTGCAGGTTGAAGGGCCCAAAGGTGCAGCCACCTGAGCTTGGGAGGGGGCGGTGGAGGCAGTGGCCATGTTGTTCTTAAATGCGGATCAAAGAGAATGGAAGTGCCTTACTCTTTGTTCTTATTGAAACCTGGGCTGCAAATTTAGTCCTCGAAACTGGTTGGACAGGTAGAAATGACCTATTAGTGGTAGAGAGAGGCCCTTGGTTAAAATTCAGCTCATTTGGCTGGGTGGCTCAGATGGTTGGAGCGTTGTCTCGTACACCAAAAGGTTGCCAATTCGATTCCCAGTCAGGGCACATACCTGGGTTGTGGGTTCTGTTCCTGGTTGGGGCATGTGCAGGAGGCGACTGATCAGTGTTTCTTTCTCTCTCCTTTCCTTTCTCTCTAAAAATCAATAAATTACAGCAATAACATATTCACCTGAGGATTAAAACATTTTTTCAGCTTGTCTGAGCATAAGTGGTGGTGTTGCTGGGGAGTGGGGAATGGGGCTGTGGGGGTGGCTTGGACGCTTTTGCCCAGATTTCCATCTGGGCCCAACTTCATCTCCTGCGGGTGCTGGTACATTGGTACATTGGCTGTGTGACTTTGGGCCATCAACAGTGTGACTTTGGGTGTGATTTTTCTGTCTGTAAAATGCAGCGGACAACAGTACCTCATAGGGTGATGGTAAGGATTAAGGAAGATAACAGTCCTTGGGTGAGAACGGTGAAGGGATTAAGCAAAGACACAACAAAAAAACCTCGTAGACAACAGTATGGTGATCCCCAGAGGAAAGAAGGATGGGGGTTAGTTAAATGGAGTCGTGGCTGGGGGTGGTGAACACACGATACAACATACAGATGACTCATTATATGAAAGCTATATAACTTTATTAACCAATGTCACCCTAATAAATTCAGTTTTTTAAAAAAGATAATAGCCATAGTGAATGTTCAGCAGATGCCTCCTTTGCATTTCTTGTCATTGCCCCACCTAGAGTCTCTAACCCTTCCTACTGCTGTCCCTGACCTACTCCTGTGAGCTGAGAGCCCCAGCCATCCTGACTGGGCATGGAAAGACATCCAGCCTGATCCTCTCTGTTACAAGCTGGGTGACTGTGGGCAAGTTGCCCAACCTCTCTGAGCCGAAACTAAATTAGCATGCCTGTACCATCAGCCTGAGAGCGGCTTTAAGGGCACCAAGATTCTAATCTGGAAGTGTTAGCCCCAGCCTCTCCTGGTACCAGCCGATGACGAGTCTCAACTCCTCCTCCCTGAGCCTTAATCCCCTCTGTAGAATGTCCCCCGCCCCACTCCAGCCATCTGCCCTGTTGGGACATGACCTGCTTGATGGTGCTGTGGTGTGAGTGCCTGCTCCGCCAGGCCAGCCAGGCCCTTTGCACACTCAAACTCAGGCAGGCTGCCCTCATTCCTTCTACCAACTCTCTATTTGTGTCCGCATCATATTTCCCTCTTCAAGGGCAAAGACTGTGTG